ATCTTTTTTCGAGGTTACGTCGACCCGATACGCGGTTTCTGTCCGAGGTTCTTTGATGGATTCTTTGTATCGCGAATGCAGTCAACACGATTGTTTCTCTGCGAAGGATATCGGCTCGGTGTGCGATATGCTGCAGCCTGTGGAGTTCTGAGCATGCGAAATGTAGCTTGCCACCCCCGCCCGGTGGTCACGTGGTTGGCCGGCTCATTCGGCGTCTTTCTCCCTCGTTCGTCTCTCCTCTCTCTTTTATCCTCCATCTTCATCCTGTCGTTGGTATTCCTATTCGTTGTCCCGTTCCGTTGGTCGGACGCGCACAGGTCGCTCGTTAATTAGAATGAGAGAGGCTAATGGCAGCTCGCTTGGTCACCCGATTGTCAGACGAAGAAAAGAAATGATGAGAGAGGGGCGTCCGTACGCGAGAAGAGGACGGATACTGCCAGGTTACCCCCTTGTTCAAATAATTGTCACCTCCTGTCACCGTTCGTTTTTATGAATCGCTCTCAACTGACAGGTCCGAGCCACTTCTTTTTTCTCGTTTACAATCCGGAGGGAAAAAAACCACCATGGAATGGTAATTGAGGTGGTCTATGACACACGATCTTGATAACCGGCAAAGGAATGCACAGCACGGGGTTAACGAATTAGCAGTATGTACGTGCGACCGAAGGTGGTCGTCTCTAATACATGACGAGAGATTTTAATCCCACGGAGAGGTCTCCACGTGCCAAAGATCGTTGCCATGGTGTCGACAATTAGTGGTGACCTCTGTAGAGATCGCATTTGAGCGCATTGTTCGGCAGTGTTCGGCGTACACGATTATTTCCGATTTAACGTGTTTTTACGGATGGGACAGGTTTTGAATCTACGTGCCGAGAAATGTGATGCGACAAGGATGGTCCACGTTGTCGTTTTTTGCATCTCATCCGCAGCAGCATGGTACGCGTGCGTTTTTTCCTTCTTTGTTTTATAATCGGAGATAGAGAATTCTTGACAGGAGGTCCAGGCGATCCTACGTCATACTTGCCATCTTCTTGGAACAAGAATGTTCCTGCTTCCTTTTTTTGCCTTTTTTATTGATTATGATGTGATAAAAGTGGAGATATTTATCTCACCTGCCATTAAACGTTAAAAAAAGCAAAATTATTTAATGTCCGCATAGCTCTGCCTCTGAATTTTTTGGATTTCGCACTTTGATTGTAACATTCATTTATGTAATTACGTTTGTTTTATGTAATAATTTTAGAGACTTATTTTATGTACCTTGTAGAAAACACGATTATCCTAATATCTTGCTGAATATTATCTTTATTTTTATTAGAGAAACAATGTTCATCTGTATCGATATTTATTTATTTCATAATTTTACACATCAATTTTACATATTAACGCATGTAGATATAATTGCATAAATTAGTCTGTTTTAGCTACTAACCAAAAACTTATATTTTGAAAATATCAGTGGAACATGTGCGTGACATATCAAACGAAATATTTAAGGAATATCAGAAATTTAAATTAAAAAGTAAAAAATTAATGAAGAAAATTGATTTTTGAATTTAAAGTATTAAAAAAGTGCGAGTGTTAAGTAAGTAATTTGTAATTTATATGAATATATATATATATATATATATATATTTCTTTTTCTTTTTTAAAGGAAGGTTGATGTACTAATTGTAAGAAAATCAGACTTCTACTTAACTATCTTAATATATTGTGAATATTTTCACGGTGTAGAGTTGCAAGTAATGAAAGCGTCCCTCATGAGATGAACATTTTTGACTATGATAATCAGGATGATGTGAGACAAGGGTAGCAACCTAATTTCCCACCACCTGCTCTTACATCCGATGCGCGTTTTATATGAACTAGATGGATTCTCAAATTTCCTTGAGAGTTTAGATAATGTTACCATAAAATTTTTCAAAACTGCTTTTTGCGCGACATCTCAATTTATAGAATAAAAGTTATTTTTCTTCAAATTTCCCCTCGTAAATGCAACGTATCTTAACATGGCGTCATATTACGTTTATAATTTAACTTCAATAATCTGAAACATTTCAGAAATGCATAATTACATACAGATTTCTTTAGCAAACTTATTACAAAATTAATTTTAAACAAATTACTTAAAAACATGATTTCTTATTTCAATTTTACGTTAAGTTTTTATCTTAACATTAAAAATTTTTCTGTTCACAGAGCATTTATGAGAGCAAGATTGAAATATAAAAAGTCAAGATTTGTAAAAGTAAAATTAAATAGACAATATTTCTTTTACTTAATTGATTTAATGTTTCTTTAAATTATTCAAAACTATAATGATTCTTTGGAATAAAAAAAAATCATCATAAATTAACGTTGAAGAAAGAGTGAAACAAAATGTGAGATAAAGAAGAATGTGCTTGAATGCGGCGTAGAGCAGAATGTGCAACGGTTGCTTCATTATCTTTCTCTCATCCTTGATATGTAATATTTCTCATATCAAAGTGCACACGGTGGCGAATATAGTTAAGTGAATTTGTTTCCTCGCGGCGTTTATTCGTTAGGACACGAGTGTACCTGCAAACAATAAACAAAAGAACAACTGAAGTGTAAAAGCGATTTCGATCAGAGGAGCCCATCGAGAAACGACAAAGAGGATTAGTATTTTTACATAATAATGGATAAATACGGCAGGGTCGGATAAATATACCTAATCTGGCTATAATTTCACAGTACACTGGATAAGAGGAATCTTTACCGAATTTTTCAGATTAATCAGAGACATGGTTTTCGTAAACATTATCAAAGAACATTCAGAATGTCTTATATTTTTTTAGATATACATTTGGTCACTTTTTTTCCTGAATAGATATTTTTAAAAATTTTGTTTAGAATATTTGAATACAGTAAGAATTAAACAAATATTCAATATAACCGTGTAACATTTCTTTTGTTTTTAATAAAGAACAACAACATCTTTTACAAAACATTTTTTCTTTGAATTTACAAGTCAATAAACTGTGGACATTTATTTTTATAAATATTATTAAAAAAGACGTAGAATTGTTTTATTTACTGTAGTAATTGTATTTTATCTTTATGTTTGCACGTTGCATGTATTCAATTGGTACAAACTAATCCACAGTTCAATTATAAGATGATTCCAAGGTCGAATATGTACCGATGATAATCAAGTCGTACATCTTTTGGAAGAAGAGAAAAGAAAGGGAAAGAGCTATGTAACCATGCGTCACGGTGGCCCGCAGGAACAAATGCAATATAACTCGTGAAGCGTTACGCGAAATGGATGTCGTCGAGTTTCCCAAGAGTCGTTCGACGAAGATCGAAGGTAATAAGGAGAGGCACGTGAGGGAGACATGGCGTCGACATCTTGTGGATTGGTCGAGGCAGTCGTTGCTTTACCGGAGAAAAAGGAAGCGGTATGGGGGTGTTAGTACCTTTATGATATAATGGCATCATGATGCTATATACGCGAAGAATCCTTGTGTACAGATAAATAAGACGGCGTGCAAGTAAGTACAGTGCGAGTCTTGAAGTATGCGGGAGCCTTGTGGTCTATCTTTCCATATAAATGGTATGCTTCAATGTGCGCATTCGACCACCCAAGGGTGCATACACCGGCTTTAACGCTTTAAAAAAAAAGCGCACAAGTACGGGGTAGAGTATTTACATTGTCAAGGACCAGGTATGTACATATGCCTTTTAATGCCTTTACAAACTGATTTTATCTGAATGAGACTCGCTGTCCATTTTGGCAAACAAATGTAATTACTTAGCCTCTTTTTATTAGGTTTATAAGAACTAATTTTTTTACTGAAATAGTTAGGTGTATATTTCTATCTTCAAGAATTGTAATTGTAATTATTGTGGTAATTTCAAGAAGTGTTGTGTATCGATTAAAATTGTAATTATAACACCAGAATTGTTTATAACATTTCTGTTTGAAAAAAAATTGTGAGAGAAGTATAATTATTTGTACAGTTAAAGTTCATTTATTTGAAATTTTCTATAATTTCTCTGTTTAAAAAAAAAAAAAACTATAATAAGCGACATAACAATTATAATTAAATGATTACTAATATTGTAATTAAATGAGTACTTATATTACTAACAAACAAATAAAAATAAATTTGATACAGTTTGAAAATCTGTTTTCATAA